GGGGTGGGGTCAGGGGGGAGAAATAAACCAAGCCTTGTATGCACATATGAATAATAAAAGAAAAATGAAAAAAAAAAAAAAAAAAGAAAGATCTAGATAGGATCCTTCCAGCAGATGTGGGTCACCCTCTCCTCTGAGAAACCTTCTCTAACCACATCCTTCCCACATATGCTGACATCCACCCCACCAATCCCAAAACACACAAACACAAGCACAGAGCTAGAGCTCTGCCCGGCTACTCCCAATTCTGCCCTGTCTCTATAATGCCCTTGAGGTATCTCTGCCTCCAAAAGGCTCAAGGTTGGTGTCTTCACCTGTCCTGGATCTACAGAGGCTGGAAAGGGACAGAGGCTCGAGACTTGGAGAAGCTTTTATAGAGATGAGCTACAGAGTGACAAAAGACACAGAAGATGTGCCACTGGTCAGACCCTAACATCCCCTACCCCGACCCTGGGGGGCTGTGCCCCAAATTCAGAGAATTTTAAAGGACCGTTTCCATGACAACTGCCCTGGCTTTTGTGTTGCCATGGCGTCCCTGGAGTGAAGGAAAAGGAAAGGGAGGAGCAGGGAGGAGCTGGGTACCCAGGAGGAGAATGTGGAGCTTAGAAAGGGCAGTCCTGACTAGGAAGCGGTAGGCATCCCTCTTTCTCTGACTGCCTTGGAGCAGGCAGATGGGTTGGTCAAACCTAACCCAGTGCAGCTGCTCTTGGGGTCCCCCAAACCCAGTCTTTCCAGGTAAGGAAACAGCATATGGGAAAATCTGGTATCTGAAATATGTCTGAGGATCAGTGTGAAAAACATAAGCTGGGACAAGGACCTTGCTATTCTCTGGCCCAGGGAGAGGAGGACTAGAAGGAGAGAATGAAGGTGCCAAAGGACAGGCCTCAGGAAAGTGCTCCCAGCTGACTGCTTCAAGAAAATTATGGAAATTCTCTTGGGAGTTGTTAGAAGAGGAGGAATCAAGGGTCACATAGGCAAATACTCTGTTTCAGTGAAGTGAGGCTGAAGGACTGCTGGAATGATCCTCCAGAGCCTGGCGTGGAGGGGAACCTTCACCTGGACTCCCCTAGGGCCGCTCAAACACACATTTCCCTCTACCTCAAACATCAACTGCCTGCCCAGATGCTAACCCAATAACCCACAGCAACTCTTCAGCCCCTCACCCTCCACTTCCAAAGGTAGTTTTCCCATGTAAAAGTGTTTCTTCCTGGCCTTGATTCCCTCCCAAAAGATGTTCCCTCCTAGTGCAGAACATGGACAGGTCTTGCATCCCATATTATTCTTCCTGGTCAGCACAGCTGAAGAGCAAACAGAGCTCATAACCCAACTACCACACAGAGCTCCAACTCCAACCTTGCCAACTGCTCCTCCCCTCCAGAAAATCCACTGTGTAGAGACAGAGCTGGGGGACAGGGGAGGGAGTGGTCGATTTTCTCTACTCTTTCGTCCTCCTCCCCCAGGAAACAAATAGACTCTAGTACCAGAGGGCACTTGATAACAGCATTAGCCAGACTCCAGAGCCCACAGACAGGAACAGGAAAGGAAGGTGAACTACAGCCAGCACAGAGAGCAGCAATTCAGGCTAGACACTTGCACACCTGGAACCCTCCTTCAGGAAGCAATAGGTGAGGTCAGAAGTCAGACTACAGCAAGTATAAGAGAGGCGGGGCTAGTGCAGGCATGGGGGACTTCCTTGCCAGTGAAACAGAATGAGGAAGCTAAAGAATCTACTTGTTGGGAATCTTTTAAGAACAGAAGGAAAGGAATGGAATATTCTGCCTAGAGGAAGAAGTAGGATGCTGCCCAACCTTGAAGCGGCTGATGAGGTTATGTCGAGTCAGCAACTCAAAAACAATGGTCCTCAAGGCGTGATCATCTGCAGCCCGGTTCAAGGAAAAGACATCAAAGCACCAGAGGTCCAGGTTCTGTGAAGAAACAAGGGACTAAGCAGGGAAGCTCCCTTGGGGAGCTCCCATGTAGCAGCAAGGTTGAAGGCAGACTTCAAGGAAGACTTTCCAATGATTACAGAAGTAGGAGAACAAGGAGGCAGTGAAGTGGGCCTCTTTCTTTCCAGGTATCTCTCAGTATGGGAGAGACGGAAAGGTAGAGGTTTGCCTCTAGAGTGGGCAAAGTTGTCTTGAGGAACAACATTAAAAGGGAAGGAAAAAAATCACACCATAAACAGAGCTTAAAGTCCCAAAGGCTATTCAAAACACCATCCTCCTGCTCTTTCCCAAAACCCAGGGGTCACCTTGAGACAGTTGTGGACTGCAGTGGAGTAAGTGGGGCCCACAGAGGTATATGTTCTCCGGAACATCCTAAGAGAGAAGAATAAAAAGAAATCTAGGTATAAAGTCAAGCGAGTAGGGATCTGGCCAAGTGGGGATATGTGGATGAGTTGAGGACACAGGGCATCATGTGGCTGGTGGGGTCATAAAAGACCAAGGTGACAAGAAAAGAGGGGCACAGTGGAGGCAGAGGGAGGATAAGTGTAGGCAAACCTCACCGCTCCACAAAAATTCCAGCCTGCACAGCATGCACAATGCTTCGGAACTTAGGCTTCTCCTCTGCCCGGCGGCCTTTGGCTCGGGTCTGCTGGGTGAAGGTGGAGGCCAGCCAGTCCCGCACCTCAGAAGGCACAGCATCCGACCGAAGCTCCTGCAGTTCATCCTCTGTGTCCAAGATTTGCCTGGGGTTGAGAAGGGGAGGAAAGACACAGGGTGCTTCCACAGACTAGAGACTCTATACCCAGTCACTTCTCATACTTAGTCACATTCATGCCAGTTCTGTCTCTGGTTCTCCATTTCTTTCCTTTTGCTGTATCTTTTTATGTCTGGATTGCTATCTCCACTAATGAAACAGCCCACTATGTGAGGTAGTGAGCATCCCAACTATGGACCTATTCAAGCAGGCAATGAAATTCCCCCTGCCAGAGATGCAATGGAGCAGCACAGAATTAAAGAAATAAATTGTGAGCCACACATATAAAATTTTAAACTTTCTAGTAGCTACATTAAAAAGATAGAAATTGATAAAAATTTGTTTTAATGATAAATTTTTAAACCGATCCCTCCAAAATACTATTTCCATGTATATCATCATAAAATACATTACAACAAATTTTACTTTCTTTTTTGTAAGTCTTTAAAATCCAGTATGTGATTGACATATACATTTCAATTCCTCCTTGCTGAATTTCAAGTACTTAATAGCCTCGTGGAATTGAGGCTCCCATACTGATTGACCAGCACAGGTCTGGAGAGGTCTTCCATCCACACTGGGAAGGTTAGGGCTAGAGGAGCTTTAAGGTCCCTGCCAATTCTGAAACCATCTTTTTTTCTTCTTTATTCTTCTGTGGTGATGCATTTCTAGGCCTCTTCCTCTGCCTCTTTATCTCTGTGAAGAGCTCTTTCTACCTGCCCCCCCCCCTTATTCCTGTCTGTCCCTGTCACACACCTCTAATCTCCAGCTTTCTGTCATACTCCCTCTCTCTGGAGCACTGTGTCTATCTAATATCTTTCTTCTATTTGTAGGTCTCTCTCACCGTGTTTCATCGATATAAACGGCCTCCAGCAGAGATGCGGTGTATTCCAGGTTTTTCTTCAGCTCCTCAATGTTTACCTCCCCATTCTCCAACTGCTTTACCATATAGCGCAGCCTGCAGGTTGTGGGTACAGACATCATGCTTAGACACTGCTACCTTGTCATGAGACCACCAATAGAGCGCATTTTACAGAAACATTCTGTCTTCCTAAGTTGTTAATAATTCTGAAGTTAATGATAATAGCAGCTAATGTTTTTTCATCTCAGGCTATGGCCACTGTCTATAGTAAATTTACCCCTGAAGTTTAAGCCCAGGTTTTTCTGATTCCACCACTCTACACACCATCTGACCTCGCCACACCTGCCTTCAGCCAGTAGTTTCTGCAAACTCTCGTTTAAACTACCTGGGTCCAGCAAAATCAGGCAGGTACAAGCCCCTGGGGTGATGTTTGGGGAAGACTTGTTTCATAGTCTGAATATTTCCCCCAGGAAAGAGGGCTTTGGGATCAACAGCAATCAAAATAATCCCCAGGATTCTTCCATTGTCTCTTGGTCAAGGCAGGGAGAGGCAGCATGTCCACAGCCCCTCTGTCCCTGGCAGGGATAGCAAAGGCACAGAACAAAGACCAATCTGAATGCTTTTGCCTGGCCTCACTCCATGCAGGCAGAGCTAATGGATTATGATTCCAGAATCCATCAGCCGGGACAAAGCTGGGTTAACCCCTGCTTACCCAGGCTTCTGACAGAGAGAACCTGTCAGAATTACTGTGCCCACCCCTGCCTCTGGACCACTGAAGCTTCTCCAGGGCAAAAGTGGTAAGGTGGGGCTGGGGCTGTGACTTACTGAATGCTCTTTCCTCACAGGCAGTTCCCTGGTGTTTTACACTTAGGAATTCTGGGGGTCAGTGACTAATGGATATGTTCCTTAGAAGTCTAGTGAGTCTAGCCCAGGCAGTCACAGAGCAAACAAAGCTCTCTGGCTTTAGATGGTGATTTTAAAGATAGCAACTAAACATTCCTTCCTCCCCCTTCCCCTTGCCCTGCTTCATACCACCCGACCTAAAAATCATGGTGAAATGGTAGCCATTACAATTCCCCACTGAGAGGGGCTTCAAAAACCCAAGGTCACCCTATGAGTCACAAAGAGAAGTGAATGACTCAGGGACCAGAGGCTGAAATTAGCATCAATTCCCAGCGATGCTGGGGGAGGGAGAACAATGGCATTCCTGAACAGAAGCAGTTCTAGAATCCTGGGGTCTCAGCAGCTTTGGAATAGGGGTGTCCAAAATAGCCAGCCCCAGGAAGTATCACAGGCCAAGTCTCACCTCAGGACCCAGGCTAGTCCTTGCCCATATGTCTGGGAGCAAATGGGGCAGAAGAGATTGGAGCAAAATGGGGGTGGGGTAAGGGTAAGAGAAGCAGAAGGACACACTGCAGTGCCCTCAGTGGGCCATCTTCACATCTCACTTCCAGCGTCCTGCTGGTTGTTTAAAAAGAAGGAAGGCAGGTTTAGGAAAGTCAGCCCCACTCCACTTCATTAGGGAGGAGGAAGAGAGAGGCTAGACATTATAGAAGGCTTTCCCAGCCAAATGAGGAAGAAAGGGACCATTAGCCTTTCCTCTTCCGGAATAGACCAGAGATCACAAAATAAAAAGGTATGCTCTGCCTTTGGGGCCCAGATACAAGCAGGGGTTTCCCTTCCGGTTAGCCTCCATGGCTAGGGACCCCGGAATCTAGGAACATACACACAGAAAGGAAAAAAGGAAAGCCTCTTCTACAGCTTGTGGTTCCATCTGTCTCCCATATTCCCACCCCTATCCTAATCTTCCACTTTACTCAGTCTTTTTACAGTCAAAAATTCAGGAGTCAATGCCCACCACCAAAGTTCTTCCAGTTTCTTCTTTCTCGACCTACCTCTTGAAACACACATTCCAACATAGGCTCCCAAGTGAACAGCCACACCCACGGGTGCTCATTTGCATGTATTTGCATAATCGCTAACAATGCTGCCAGCTCTACATTCTGAAAAGCATTTATCTCCTACATTCTCTCATTTTATCCTCACAATGGGCCTATGAGGGAGGAAGATGGAGAAGGAATTGCAAGCCACATTTCTAATGCAAAAACCCTGGCTCATGCAAAAGCTTTGGCATGGAGTATTGATCAGCAGAGGGTGAAAGGCTGAAAGCCCAGGTTCAAAGCTGTCACTTTTTGCTGTGAGCCCTTGGGCAAGTCACTAACTTTTATTAAAATGTGGCTTGGAGACTGCCAGTACCAGCATCACCTTGGATAAATGTCAAAATGTAGATTCTAGACCTCAGTATACACTTACTGAACCAGGATTTCTGAGGGGATGGTCCAGGGGTACACATTTTTAACAAATACCCCAGATGATTCTAATGCACTCTAGAGTTTGAGAACTTTTAGTCTCAATTTCCTCATTTGCAAAATGGCGAAGATGATAATAAAGCAACTTCACAAGGCTATATTAAAGGGTTAAAATGAAATAATATATGCAAAAGGCCTAGCATTTGCAAAAAGGCTCCATAAATATTATCTGAATATGAATTAACTGATTACCATCATGCTGGCCCCACCTAGCTCACATCACACTCCTTAAACCCAGCAAGTATCTGCCTACTCTATCCCAAATCCAGGAGGAGACCAGAAATATATTTTGGGTGGAGTGGGTGATTAGGAAGCTCCTCCCCCCCAACAGAAAAAACAGAAGACAATAATGAACGCCTATGATCACTCTTTCACAATTACTAAAAACCTCATCTGATTCTCACAAGCATTTTATGAAGGAAGTAAGTGACTTGTCCAAGGTCAGATTGACAAGGCCTACAACTCACTCTAATGGGATTTACCTATGTCCCACACAATAAAGGAGTTAAAGCAGAACAAGCCCAAGTATGTAATTAGCTTGAAGAGAGGCAGAGGGTATTCCACTGAAGCTTCTTCAGTCTCATCCAGTCTGACCTTAAGTGTTCCTATTGTGGGACCAGTCCGTTGGACCATGGGAGACAGCAAGTGTCTGAATGGCACTGACAGTAACTGGTTTATCTTGGCCTCCATACTCAAAGCACACAATATGTGTTCAGTGAAAGTTCATCAAATAAACAAGGAAAGGGGCAGAGTAATCTGGCCACCTGCCAGAGCTCACAACTGAGCTTCAGGGCTTCTGAAATGCTAATGGGGAGCCTGGAGCAAAGAGTGAAACCCTTGGCTGACTTTGAACACAGGGCTCCCTCCAAATTTCTGCTTTCCTTACATCTAGATCTCTTCCAGGAGCTCTTCAATAGCTTCTGTTGAAGTCTGAACCAAACATGATCCAGACACCAGAAGGAGGGGGTAAAGAGGGAAGGAAAGATTAAAGAATAAATTTGACAAACGAGGAGTCCAAGAAGAAAAGCTGGACTCAGGCAACTGAAAGGATTCAGGTGCTGAGCTGCACTCTCCTGAAGTCAAATAAATATGCACACCATACTTTCTGGCCAGCAAGGCTTTTCTTATTTCAAAGTCCTTTAGATCTAGTATCTCCCAAGACCAACCCCAAGTCCTCACCTCACTGTTCTGCAGAAAGTCCTTCTCCCCACCCGCATCAGTTTTAAACCAACCTTCTGATTCAGCCCTCTGAGACTCTGGTGCAGGAATGATCCCCTTCCCTGTAGAACAAGATGCTCAACACTGTCCAGTCCTCATCCAGCCCTAAGGAAAACTGGAAACTTCCCCCAACATCCCTATCCTCTCTATTCCTACCTCTGCTTCACTACCACCACTTCTGTCCTTTTCCTTCAACTCCTGCACCATGGAAAAAGCCTCAGATCCTGACTCCCAAGAGGCCTGTTTCCCCTGCTCTAGGCAGCCAGCTGGAAGAGAAGGCTCCTAGCAATAATAACCCCAACACCTCAGCAGAGCCCAACTTCCCCAGTCCCCACCAGCTCATTTCTTTGGATCCCTAGATGGCTGGTGTTCTGGGGATTTCCAAAGACCCCTGCCACTACTTCCAGCACTCACATTCCTAAAAAAATCACCCTAATTAGGAGGCTTAGAATAAGATGGCCTCAAGCCAAGAGGCTGGAAGTCTATAGAAGAATATTTCTAATTTGGGTTCTTAAGACAAGATTTAAAAAAAAAAAAAGCTTCAAAGGTATGTGGGGCCCAAAAGATGCCAAGTCAAAATCAGGAAGAAGAGAAAGGAAGAGGATCTGGATCAGGAAGGACAGAATGGAAGAGGATAGGGATCAGTAAGGAGAGAAAGCAGGGAATCCCTGCTAAGTCACCTGCCATGGTCAAGAGAAAGTAATAAAAAGGAAAAAGAGATGAAAATGGGAGGAGAATAAGGTAAAGACAAGACAGACAGAGTAAAAGGTGGAGAAATTGGCACACACACGCACAAAACATACAGGAACTGTCAGGTCTGGATCCCTCCCCTCCACCAAACCACAACTGGTGGATCCACAGCAACCTGTTCTCTCCTCTTCCCTTGTCCTCATATGTGGCACCTACCTGAGGATGGGGCCTTGGAGATGGCTCCTCTGAACAGGAACAGGATTTGCCATGGAAATCAGTTTCCTACTTCAGAGTATCAAAACGCTGAGCCCAGGGACCCAGGGCCCCTATGGGGGAAAACTCTCTCTCTCTCTTAAGCCCCCAACTTCCTCCTTTGGCTCCCAAAACTGAGGAACTAACCAGAAAGCACTTTGGGGTGGGGAACTGGAGGGGCCTGGACAGAGGAAGAGGGAGTGAAGCAGAGACACAGCCTACAGGAACTGGGTGAGAGGCCACGGGAAAAGTTTCACATCTGAATCAGACTGAAAACAAGAATCTGTTGTCAAAAGAATCCCAGAAAGGACAGAAATAGCACAGTCCAGCCCCTTGCTCTGAGGAGGTGGGGCTCTTCTTTGGGAAAAAGGGATTAACAGGCTGCTTTAGGATGCAGGAACAAGGAACCATCCTGAATTTGTCATGGAGAAGTCTGTAATCAGAAGGAAAGGGGCCCTTCAAGAGCCCCCAAGAGGTGCTTAGTAGATTCAGCTCCCTCTTGAGGAGTCTTTTTCCCAGGACATTCTTCAAAGTCAGCATTAACCCACCTGAAAGAATGGAAGCAAG